TAAACACACAATTTAAGGAGAAAAAAGGATTTTTCTTACATGATAGCTATTATTAAGAGGATTTTTCTTGGATCCATTTTAGAAGACTTATGATGTCTTGCACGACCCTCTGAGGCATCATCTGCATGCGATGCATCTTTTCTTGGTGGGGCCGTCACTGGTAGAGTTGGCAACGCGCTCGACCAAAAAGGCAGCAATGACCTAAGGAACTTATGACGAATTGTTCCTGCAATTTTTTGAATAATACACGCAGGCATATATAGTTTTGCAATATGAATATAAAAAGTCGCACAGATGCTTATATTAAGCCCGAAAAGAAAATGGTTGTACTTCACGGGAAAAAAAGTTGAGTTTGCTGAATGTAGGTGTCGAGCTGGTCAATTGTAAACCTAAGGGCGTGCTTGGATACAAATATATGAAATGAGCTTTTTTGGTTAACCAACTGTTAATTTTGAAAAAAATGGTCTAGTTAGTTGTTAGTGGGATTTTGAATTTATATTAAAATAATATTTAAAATAAAGTAGTTAAAGTTGATTTGATGTAAGAGTAAGAGAGACATGATGTGAAGTGATGGTTAGTTAAAACTATGTGAGTGGATGAATAATGAATTAAAGTTCGTGTGATGTGTAAGAATGATTGGTTGGTTTATTTAATTATATCGATAATATTGAGGATAGTGGAGTTGAGCTAGATCTTGAGTATGAATTGAGATAATTTATAAACAAACACACCCTAAACTATTCAGTGGTGGACGAGTTTACCATCGTGAATCTTTTATTTTAAGTCGTGGAATAACTCACCTCTTCGCGAATATTTCTTCCTGTTTGCATCTTCATCGTCCGCATAATATGAGACCTCAGAGTTTTGTCTTTCGACTTGTAGTGCATTTTTTCGAGTGGTAGCACCAGGCTGAACAAATACACAAATATACAGATGTTTTCAACATTACACGGAGCTACAGACAATTTCACGCAAACCAAAAGTTTAAGAAAATAATATTAACACAATTAAAATTAAAAATAAAATAAAGATTTCTTACGCCAGGTGGACTGGAGTTTTTAATAAAATTCGGCTCATGGTTGGGCAAAGATGATGTTGCTGAGCTGGGCCCGTCAATCTCCACTATATCCAAGCTTGCGGGCCTTGTAAAGCCCGTTGCAGGAGGCACAGCATCTTTTCCAGCGGATGGATGCATCAGTGGTTCTGAGGCAAATGCCGGAGGAGGATCTCTGTTCTCTGTTGCAAACGAAACTGGATGGTTGCCGAACAAGTTCTTCTCCAAACCAGTCTGCAAACAAATTTAAATCACCCGAAATAAGGTTAAACCGAATAGTTATTAGAGAATGTGCGAAAGCTTAGGTAATGCCTACATGTTAACTCTATTGGCATATACCTGTTCGGGAGACTCAAGCAAATTCTCATTCACGGTGATGGCAAAACCATATATTCTGACTGTAGTAACAATTATTGACCACATAATTTACTGAAGAACTGAGAATAAGACATTACCTGCATTATTGCTTCTTTCAGATTTGAATGAAGACGTGATCCAGAATCTTTGACACTTTTTGGAGGCCATATCTGCAACAAGTTGATCACTAACCTTGAGTTATGACTTTAACCAATAGAACAACTTAAGAGACACATGCTTCAAAGACTATATCTCAAACATGGTTAATAATTAAGAGCTAAAACATTTCAGTCCAGGGCAAGTAAATGATGGCTGGTTACTTATCAGCATACTGTCTCACAGTGTAACCAATTTCAAGCTCGATGACTGATGGATATGTACAAGAGAGTCACTGAGCTTATAAGTTATAACCAAGGTTCTCAGAACTAGACCGGCCATCCAACCGATGATGCTACAGGTTCAATGGTTCACAGGTCCGACCGTGATCGAACAGGTCAAACTTGTATATTTTTTTTATTTATTTCATATGTATAATATATAAATATATACACTTTTTCATTCATTATGTACTATATAGTCTATACAATATATTAGATGTGGCTTAAATAAATAAAGAGAAACTAAGAATCTATAGATTATACAATGTATTATATGTCTCTAATGATCTAATCAAGAGTCAGATTGAAAATGGAAATTGGAATATTACAATAGTTCAATGTCAATAGCAAGACAATATGAAATCGCCAAATTAAATTCAATTAATCAGCACAACACAGGAAGAACAAATTCTGCATGTGTTCAAATTAATAACAATAACAACAACATAGCCTTTTAGTCCCAAGCAAGTTGGGGTAGGCTAGAGATGAAACCCAAGAGAACCAAACGAATACCAACAAAAATAAAAAAACAAAACGAATCGTCAGAACTGGTACAGGTTCTTGACTTATTTATTTAATTTTAAGCTAAACCAGACCGGTTGAAAGGCTGGTTCCAGACCTAACAGGCCGGTTTCAGTATGGTTTTGAAAGCTATGTTATAACTCTTTAAAAGCGTGGTTAATTTAGATCTTATAAGCGTTCCAAAGGATCATTCGGTAATATTTTTTTCCAATAATCATCTTACAAGCACTCAAAATGAGATGGAAGATTTTTTCGGCTGCAAAAAGTACTCATAAAAGTTGACAGGTAACAAGCTTTTAGGCCAAAAGATTTTGATTTAAAACGTTCTTCAAGCTGGTAAGGATAATAATGAAATTGTAACTGCTAATTCCTTATAAGCTCTATCATCTATTAACTATTTTCAATATAAGATCTAAAGTCTCATTACTCAGAGAACATCTCACAAATTTAGTAGCTTATAAACCTTTTCTAGACATAAGACCCTCTATAATCGGGCAAAAGCTAACGCATTTATCAGGTATACAATGATTGCAAAAGTATATTCATTAACAGCCAATAAATCGATAACTTCTGCACCAAGTATAATTCCACACTTTTATAGCAAAGCCTCAACTATTATTCAACAAAAATGGAAGTTCCCAGACTCTCATTCACCAAAAAGGGGGTCGCAATGAAGACAATCTTGAATTTTTTGCCAAGAAGGTTGACGGACAAACATATAAATGGAAGCTTTAAACAAAATCGTAATACCTTGCAGCAATCCATCTCAGTTCAGAACTTCCAGAAGGATGGGAAAAGCAGACCCAGTAAGTGGCAGAAGGAACAAAATTTGTTTCCTTAAGAAAAACATTCGACCATGACATGATAAATTATTTTCTATTTTATTTAAATTCACGAAGTTGTATCTGTATAAAACTATCAATTATCATTTTAAACTGGGAATTCATGTCAACTGCTCTAGCCGAATATACAACTGTACAAAACTCCAACCATTTCCAGCGAAACAGAAGTGAGCTAGCAACCGTTCAACATTTCCATCATTTCTATATGACACCAGGTCGGATTTCACCTAGAGTTGCAAATAAAATAAATTTAGGTTCAAGATTCGGTTTGATTTTATAGATTCCAATTCAGACAAGTTAGAATGAACTCAAATAAGAATTCTGATTTAGATTTGAATCACTAAAGAATGTTAATAGAATTACTTGCATATCCTAATATAATCAAAATGTTCATGTACAACCCAGTTATATTAGGTTAAGAAACTCAAAATTACTCCACAGTCGAAATATAAGCAACTAGTATCTCCAAGCAATTTATTATGAACAGTAGCAGGACTCCTGCTAGCAAGTTCATATTACCAACAGCAACAGTATGGGAAAATGGAAATTTAGAAAAACATATAACGCTTGGTTTATGCAATGTTGTAGGTCAAGGTATAAATTGATCACAAGAAAAAAAATGATGCGACCAAATGAAATGTCATTCTCCGCAAAACCATAACATACCGAAGTTGAACAGCCTGGACAGATGTACCCAGCTGGTGCAGTTTGAGAAGGAAAACTCTTAATGTGTGACACTAAGCAACTATTATGTATAACATCTGCAAAAAAAAATAATGTATTGGAAGCAAGAGGCACAAATTCAAAAATATCCAAATTAAAAATAGAATAAGTATGAGAAGGCCTACGTAAACAGCCCAATCTTGTCGTTTGAGGATTTGACCCCTCATCCAACACGGCTTGGCATTTGCAGCATTTAGGAGGCCAATCATACTCCCCATCAATTACCCACTCGGAGTACGTACGGACCTAAGATTATTACATTAATAATCACTTTTTCAACATTTGCAGATTAGACATGATTAAAAAAAAAAAGCAGATAACAAACAGTAAATACCACACAAATTTGGTGCTCCGGGTAGCATATACATTCTCCGCAAACAGGCACCTTGTGGACGAAGCAATACAACTTAGTCGCCTAAATCCCAAAACAAAAAACCGGAATTCATCAGCCAACATATTTGATTAAGAACAGTGCACATCATCATCACCAAATTAAAACCCAAACTACAATCAAAACACCAAATGCAATCAATCTAAAACAAATTCAGTAAAACAGAAAGACAGTGGATAAAAGTAAAATAAAAATCAACCACATGAAAGACAGTGATAAAAATAAAACAAAAATCAACCACATGTCCCACTGAAAACAATTACAAAATAAAGGCCTGGTCCTAAGTGATTCCGCTCATCACAAATCAACTAGCGGCAGATATATCCAACTGAATAACGAATTCTTAGCTGATCTGATATAGAAATTCGGAAATCAAATCAATTACTTCAAAATCCACAAGAAAATCGATCAGTAACCCAAAAATGCGTGCATCGGCGCGCATACCTTGCGGCATTTGCAGACCACCATCGCGCTCGCGAGGCTCGAGTCCGGCTACTGTGCGGCCAGGCCAAGATCGACGCTCCGTACCAAATGACGCGTTGATTAACGTGCTTGGGCAATTCGATTCAGAGGGTATTAGAGCTTGATTAGAGAGGAAATTTCTGTGATGAAGGAGATCGAGTGAAGAACATAAGATTCGAGTGTTATTACATTTTCTCACTTGTTTATTTTCTATTTTCTATTTTATTTATTTATTTATTTGTGTCGTGTGTATTTACAGATGGGCTCTGGAAAATGTTGATTAGGCCTCTGTTTTATATGGGCCATATGCTCGATCAATGGCAAGATGTAAGCCCAAAAAGAAGAAATTAAAAGATTATCTCAAACAATTCTAAGTGAATTGTTTTAGAATTGTTTTATATGTCATAATGTTCTCATACATGACTCCACTGACTACAAGTGGCGCTTTTTGGACATATACGACCAGCCCAAAATTCATCTTCGATACCAAATCTGGGAGCTTTTTAGACGTCTTAAGCACGCCTCAAACTCTCCCTGGTTATGTGGAGAGATTCTCTTATCTGAACGTAAAGGAGGGGACTTTCTCTCGTTGAGCACCAATTTAGCGTTCTAAGAAGTGTTGGACGCTTGTAATTTGTTCGATCTCAATGTAATGGAAACCAATTCAGTTAAGAGCATGATTGGATATAAAAAGTTTTTGTTCTGATTGAATTTTTTAGTTTGGGTTGGTTAAATTTGAAAAAGTTGGTATGGTTAGTTGTTATTGGGTATATTAAAATAATATTTAAAATAAAATAATTAAAATTAAATTGATGTAAAAGTAGGAGAGAGAAGATGTGATGTGATGGTTAGTTAAAATTTTATAAGTTGATGAATAGTGAATTAAAGTTGACGTTGTGTGTAAGGATGGTTGATTGATATTATTTAATTATATTGATAATATTGATGATAGTGGGATTGAGTTAAAATTGAGTTAAAAATGATTGGATTTTTTGGGTTGGATTTATATCCAATCATGCTCTTAAAAAAAATAAAAGAGCTGGAGTGAACAATATTCAAGTTAGGCTGGATGAGTTGTGGGCGACCAAACTATTGACACATAATTCCCAATAGTTTTGACTATTCATCAACTAACATATTTTTACAGCCATTTACAATCATTATTTAATTAATTTTACATATACATCATTACATTCCATTTAATATTCATTCACAAAATCAAATTAATTTATTCTTACACCCCAACCAATTTTTTTACTCTCCATTTCAATTTTATTAAATTAATCAAAATTAATCCAAAAATTGTATATCCAAAAGCACTACTTTAGATTAAGCTATAACATTCGATTAATGGATACTGACAAAAATATAGAATTACACAAACTCAACTTGATACACCTAACAATAACACAAAAATCACGGGTTGCTACACAAAGCAAGATACAAGTCGGTCATCTAATTCACAGACAGAATGAAATATAGATGACATTATCAATTGCCGAGAATGTCAATCCCCAACACCACTAGAGGAGACTCGTGAATTGTTTGTAGTTTTTTTTTTTTAAGAGAGGTGTTTATTTTCAAAAATTATATTAGTCACCCTTTCAACAAAAAAATTTACTCTTTAGTATTAATTAATTTGGTGTGTGTTCGAATTTGAATTTCAGAGAGATCCCCAACTCGTCTCCGGCCTTCTCTGATCTCTCGTTTTACCCCATTTTCTAGCCCAAAGATATATCTCTACACCTTCTTCACAATTTACCTCCCAAAAATTCTGCTAAAACCCTAGTCGCCCCCTCACGCGGCGCTGATCGACGGCGACGATGACGGCGGCGCCACCACCACCGACCGGCCGCGAGCTGTTGAACCCTCCCTCCGACGGCATTTCGAACCTCCGTTTCTCGAACCACAGCGACCACCTACTCGTTTCTTCTTGGGACAAGGTTCGCCTGCGTGTTGGCTGTTGGGTCTATCCAATTTCGGATCCGCGATTTGAATTTTACTTTCCTTCTGATATTCCCCCTCTTTTTTGTTTTTTTATTTTAACTTTTTGTTGTTGTGGTTCTGTTGTTAGAGTGTTCGATTGTATGACGCGAGTGCCAATGCGCTGAAGGGAGAGTTTATGCACGGAGGAGGCGTGCTTGATTGCTGTTTTCACGACGACTCATCGGGGTTTAGTGCCTCTGTTGATCACACTGTTAGAAGGTGATTCTAATTTTCCGTAAAAAGATATAATTTTTATCTTCTACGCTTTCCGTAAAAAGATATAATTTTTATCTTCTATGCTTCAATTTTAATTGAATAAAGTGATGGTATTTTGCTCTTTCGTTCAAATGATAAAGGCTTCAGCATTCAAGTTTATTTGGCAGGATTGAATGCCATCTTATGATTTGTAGTTATCACCTTTGCTGCGTCCTTTTGTTTTCTGGGGTGTTGCGATTATTAATGTGTCGAAATAAAAAAATGGCAATTTTGTGCCTACACAAATGGGATTTATTGTTTTCATTTCAGGCTTGTGTTCAACTACAATAGGGAGGATATTCTAGGGAAGCACGATGCACCTGTTCGTTGCATTGAATACTCACACGCAACCGGTGAGTTCTCTGTTTGAAATTATGACCTTTTTATTTAATGTTTTCAATATTTATTGGGGGTTTAAACTTAGTTTGGAGACTGGCTCCTTGGTTTTGAAGATTAATCTTAGAACAAAACCATATTCCTCTTAGACCATCTACAATGGGGTTGCTTAACTGATTGCTTAAAAATAAGCAATTGCTATTTAAGCAATTTCCCATTGTGAAGAGAAGACAAGCAATTGCTTAGGTTAAGCAATTGCTTGAATAAGCAATCCACAAGCAATCAGAATTTGTGGGCCAATGAACCAGAAAATGGTGCAAGACATGTGAGAGAGGATGAGAAATCCAAAATTTGTGGGGTATATATGGGACCCGCATGAGTTGCTTAATAAGCAATTCACCATTGTGGGATTGAATTGCTTAAATCATAGAATTGCTTAATGGCACAGGGTCCCACTAAAATAATACTAAAATATTCTAAGCAATTGCTTATTAAGACAACCATTGTACATGGTCTTATTACTACTTGATGAATTTTCTTGATGAACTAACATTTTGGCTTCAAGAATTTAAGCTGCGGTTGATAAGCTTACGAATATCGGTGTACACTGGCAATTCTTGAAAAATCTTTCGGACTTTACACATCTATAGACATATTTCTTTTCCATTTTCATTTTCTTTTCGAAAATCCTCTTTATTCTATTTCAGGCCAAGTTATCACGGGTAGTTGGGATAAAACCATAAAGTGTTGGGACCCAAGAGGTGTAAGCGGTCAAGATCGATCTCTTGTGGGCACTTACGCTCAGCCAGAACGTGTTTACTCAATGTCCCTTGTTAGCAACCGATTAGTGATTGCAACTGCTGGAAGACATGTGAATGTTTATGACCTTCGAAACATGTCACAGCCCGAACAACGAAGGGAATCGTCTTTGAAATATCAGACGAGATGTGTCAGATGTTACCCTAACGGGACAGGTGTCGTCGTGTCGACTACTCGAAACTTTCTCGGCCATTACTGCATTTTATTTTTATTTTTTTCAATTTTTTTATTATTGGATTGGATTTTATAAATCCGTGATTTGCAGGCTATGCTCTGAGTAGCGTGGAAGGTAGGGTTGCTATGGAATTCTTTGATCTCTCTGAAGTTGGTCAATCAAAGAAGTAGGCTATGGACTTCATGTTTTCAATACTTCTTTAAACTTTCTATTGATGCCAACATTTTTAGATGGAGTATTCAGATTCTGTTAAACTCACTGCTGATAACGAGCCCTCACATTGTGGGTCCCTTTTGCAGATATGCATTTAAATGTCATAGAAAAACAGAGGCAGGAAGGGATATTGTCTACCCTGTGAATGCCATTGCATTCCACCCTATGTAAGTTTTGCTCTTTTTGTATTGTGTACTTTTTCCCTNTCCATTTAATATTATTTGAAAAAAGTAAAAATAAAAAATTGTAGCTATGGCACTTTTGCTACGGGAGGTTGCGATGGCTATGTGAACGTGTGGGATGGAAACAACAAGAAGAGGCTATACCAAGTAAGATATACTCGGGATTTGGGTTTTTCATTCCTTACATTATGTACTTCTTTATGAAAAAACTTAATTCTTTTACTAATGTTTTCTCTTGAATCTCGTATGTTGTGAAGTACGCTAAGTACCCAACAAGCATTGCAGCTTTGTCGTTTAGCAGAGATGGCAAGCTCTTAGCCGTTGCATCAAGCTATACATATGAAGAGGGAGAAAAACAGTAAGAAAGATTTCTCTCTCCGGATGACAAATTTTTGCTTAATATTTCTTTTTTCAGACCAAATTAAGAATTATTTATACATTCATAATTACGTAAATTTTGTTTTTCAGACATGAGCCAGATGCCATATTTGTGCGGAGTGTGAATGAAGTTGAGGTGAAACCGAAGCCGAAAGTGCTTCCGAATCCTGCTGCATGAACGAATGGCCATGACTTAGTACTACGTTTTTATATCCCTTTTGCTGGTTTTGCTCTTTTTCCTTGTTTGCCTAAATTCATTTTTGTGCGGGTTTGTGCTTTGCGTTGCAAATTGTGGAGTCACGTTATATAATCATGTTCTCATTGATTAACACTAAATGTTGGCACTTGGTAAAATCTATGGATCTCTTGGAGTCAGATTGATAGATGGTTTCAAGAGATGAATGATTAATAGTTTATTTTGTGTTAGAACCTCTAATCTGTCATCTCAAAGGAAACAAGAAAGTTCATAAATGAGTAAACTTTAGTTACAAAATTCTATTTCATGTACTGAAATTGGACTAGTCGAGATTCGAGTTATGTATAAAAAGTCTTGTAAAGCAAAGTTTCCATGTGTGGTCACAAATATATGACAAATTTTTAGCCTCAAATTTTGGAGTTAGGAACTTTACCTTGTAAGTTGGAACATCGAACATCATCGTACGTGAGATTTTCTATACACTTTTAGAGTTTAAGGATTCACTAAAAGCAAAATTTGAAATACGTGTTTTTTGTTTTGAGCTGAGCTAGTTCAACGGTTAGGCATATTGTACAACAACAATGCGTTCTTATGTTGAAAAGGTCATACTTTGCTAGAGTGTTTTGAACATACGTATATATTTATGCAATAAAATGTGTTTATATTACTTTCTTATGATATGAAATTTCAATATGAAATCATGTATATTTTATAGAAAAAGCATGACTGTTTAATTATTAGGTTTGGTTAATTGCAGGTTATTGAATCTGAAATAGTGGGGGAAATTTTTTTTGTTCAAACAAAAAAAAAATTAATCCTATAATGTTTTTGCTATGTTTGGTAAATTGAGTTGATAAGCTAACTTATAGCCCATAAACTAAATTATAGTTTTTAAGTGAATTCTTAGCTTCTAGCTGATAGCTATGACATATGCTAAAAAGTTAGCTTATTCGATAAAAGTGTGGTAAAATTAGCTTATAAGCTAGCTAAAATTAAAATTTCAATGGACTTATTTGAAAACCTACCCAAGGAAGCTTATGAGATAAGCTCGAGCTTTTTAAAAAAGTTCGTCTTACCAAACCAAGCTTAATTAAATACATGAAGTTTATAAATTAATCAAATAAGCCATAAGCTAGCTTATATGCTTATCGAATACAATATTAGTCATACTATTGCTCAATCACTAAGATTGATGTTAGGCAGACCTAACGGTTGGACACTTGTACTTTTTCGATAAGTATGCATGCTTTTAAATTAAAATGGCGTACTTAAAAAAGGTAAGATATTTCATACAAAACTGTGTACTTTATTTGAACTAGTGTAGAGCCCGTGCGATGCACGGAGTATATAATTTTAAGGCTATTTATTCAGGCTTATAATTATATACATGAATAAAGAAAAATGTACGGGATATATGTAGTACATGACCCGTGCAAGGCACGAGATATATTTATTTGGGGAATATTATATTATAAGATGCAATATTAAATAAAAGTTTTATAATACGTAGGAAAATGTACAATAAGATAGTATGGGACAAAGAAACAATCATATATTATTAAATCTACACAAACTATAAATATTAGAATGACTAAATATTTTGAAATTTATAATTTATAATTGGTAGAGTAGAATCGAGATTTATAATTTATAATTGGTAGAGTAGAATCAATATATGTTAAGATTTTTAAGAAAAATCTTGATATACGGAAATCACATTATATGTAGAGGAAAAATGGGATGGAGACGGATAAAATATTGTTCAAGTTTTAGTTTATATGAGAATTCCATGCAATATGGGACTCTTTCCAATTATTCAAAATTGTAATATTCGAATTCAAAGCAAGATGGGATTCTGTACAATTATTTAGCAACTTACTTTCCAATTAATTGATGTATTACATCGGATAAATGCGGACTAAATATTGTGAAGAGTTGCATGATATTCGAATTCTTAGCAAGGTGGGATTCTTTCCAATTATTTAGCAACTTACTTTGTACACACCAAGAAAATATTGTACATTTTTTTTCGATGAATGTTGTAAATCAATTTTAAAAAACAATGTTTTTAATTATTGTCAGTATTTTTTTTACAATTATTTAGCAACTTACTTTCTAATTAATTGATGTATTACATCGGATAATGCGAACTAAATATTGTGAAGAGTTGCATGATATTCGAATTCTTAGCAAGGTGGGATTCTTTCCAACTATTTCGAAACTTAATTTGTACACACCAAGAAAATATTGTACAGTTTTTTTCGTTGAATGTTGTGAATCAATTTTAAAAAACAATGTTTTTACTTAATGTCGTATTTTTTTTTAATATCTATATAAATTTATATAAATTGATGTCATCCAAAAAAGTTTTATTTAATTTCATAATTCATTCCTAATAAGAATCCAATATGTAACTAATTTGTACACGTGAATATCTAAAATTTTAGCGGATTTTGTGTTGAAAAAAATCAGTTTTAGATGTAAACAAAAATTCCGATATTTTCGTGGGAAAGTTTAAAAAAAAAAAGGCAATCGGATTTGTTGTTGCACGCCGATTTAATTGTGCAAGCTAGAATTAAGGAAACACTGCAATTAAAGAGTCTTTTTTGTGCTTATTCACAATTGTCCAACTATTACTATAATTAGAATATATTTAATGATTATGGCGGGAAAAACTTTCTAAATTTATAAATAGGTTATTCTTTTTATATAATAATAGATATATATATATATATATGATGGATCAACTCACTCAACTATTAAACTTTTTTCTTACAATAATTTATATTTTTCATTATCCTACCCTAATGAAAATGTCAAAAGTGGTAAGGGACTGAACAAATTATGAATTTCTACTTGTACGTGCACCATATAGTTTGCTCATTTTTTCAGGAGAAACACATGCAAAAGATTAAAATCCCAAGCAAAATATCAGTGTCAATGTGCAGTATGGCGTCAACTAGAATTTTAAGCTGATAAATTAACTGCCCCACCAGCTGTTGACAAAATGATAATGAATAAACTATTATCTATTTACAACTTGGATTTTTATAGAATTTTTTGTTAAGTTCTCACATATAATAATCTTATAACTTCATTTAGTAACTTATTTTAAACTCTTACAAACTAATGAAATTGATTATGCTAATCAAACCGCCATAATTAACAAACTATATAGTGTACGCTTCTTAGAAACTAAATAATTCGTTTTTCATTAGTAAAAAAAATGGTTATTGAGCTCTGGAAATTACTGGAATTATCTAAATTTTAAAGAAAACAAAAAACGTGCGACTTTTTTACCCTAACCATGCATAACATGTTTATTTTTGGAGTAATTTTGGCCACGTGCAGAATTATGAAAAAGATGCAGCTAATAATCGGACTTTGATAGGTGTCAATAGCCACCAAAGTAGGACCGCAATAACTTTGTCTATTAAGAAGAAGAAACAAAAAGATATAAAGTTTTTCTCACATGGAATTTGCTACTAATTGATATTTAGTAGCTAGTGTTCCAAAGTTTTGAGTTTGACTAAGCATATTATTTATGCTAATTGTGAAATTGTGGTAATTATTAAATTAATTTGATGATGACAAGTCGAAAACGTACAAATCTTACCAAGGGAAAGTCAAGTCATGGCCAACTTACATAGTACATTTCATTAAGCTATAATTTGGAATCATTANAACTAACTATATATGTAGAGTTATGCAGCAATATTACTGGTCGTTACCTTTAGAATTGTCAAACAAAACAAGCGACTAGTGAATTCTATTCGGTTCGCCATATTAAAGTTTGAGTTCATTTAAGACTCGTTAGACCTGATATATTGAAATTTTTATAATTGTTTAACTTATTATCATATAATGATAATAACGACTCGTTAACAAGCCGAACTCGAGCTCGCTTATTAAAATCGTCAACTCATATTTCATCGAACATGACTCTACTCGATAAGAATTTGAGTTTGAGTTTGAATATTAGGAGCTCGAGTTCGACTCATCTCATTTACAACTCCTTTTTAAATCTCTCGTTAATTACTTAAGGTAAAGCCCACAAACAAAAGATTTTGGTCTCAATAAATCCTGAAATCTTGTAGTCATGCATTGTCTTGATATATGAGTGGTTCAATCACTTTTATGGTAAAAGAAATTTGGTATATAAGATAACTAATTAACTGAATTAAATAAATTATTTAATCTCTTGTGGTGACCAATTATGAGGTGGCTTTGCGTAATTGCTATCCTAGTCATACTTACAATCTAGCTTATTAGAAACCAGATAAGCTTTGAATAAATTAAAATACATGGGGACCAGAATTTCCAGGAATCTAATAAATATAAAATAAAATAAAAGAGGCCGGCTTTGGTCAGGGGAAAACTTCTATTTTCATATTTTCTAAAATATGTGATGGCTTTTGAAAATTTCAAACGAGTACAACTAGTCCACTTGTCACTTGTTTCAACTGTTTACTAAAATCAAATGTATCATGTATGCATTAGTATAAGTAGAACACTATAGTACGTAAATGTTAATCCTGTAATTTATAATTATTTTATAAATAATACTAATTAAAGTAATATATAATTATTTAAATACTTGTTAGAAAAAATTTCAGTAATATTTTATTTAAAATGACATACAGTCACCAGTAATACTCTCTGGAATAATTTTTCTAACACGTCTCATATGATAGGTTTGATATATAAATTTATAAATATATCTAAAATTAATTTTTATATTTTATTTATAACAGGAATTTCAAATCAAATATCAATATATGATGATAAATACCACATATCATGTAAGAAGATATGATGACAAATAAAAAGTTACTAAATTTTAAAATACTAATACATAAAATTATGAAATATATTTCTCTTAGAATCCTTGATGAGGACTCGCAGTACTTTGCTCAAGGTTTATTGATACTCTCGGGGTCCATTTGATTGACATGATTGTGCATGATATCACACACTTATATGATATTTCCATCTTATTAAAACATTTGGTTCTAATAAATTGGCCTTGAAATAAGTCATGTCTCGTCAAATATTAAGGTCTTTTAGGATTACGTATCTCACATAAGAGGTGAGATGTGTAATGTATCATTATTTTACATTTGAAAGTTACACAAATACCCTCATCCACCTCTTGACCGATCATGAGATCCTTCGATTGAAATATTCATATCTAATCGTCGGACCCGATTCAGATGTCAATCACTGACCGTTTAACCAGTCGAGAGTCGACGTTCTGCTGCTCTGAAAAGGGCCCAAGCTCATCGAGGCTATTTCGGAGCGAGGGGCGACGGAGGTGGTGGTGGAGCAACTGCTCACCGTACCCGCCGCTGGCTCTCGAACCCGCGCATTATCTCGCCACAGTTGCTCGTCGTTGCCGCACGACGACCCCGAAAGCCACGCATCGTCCCACAATTGTTGCTCGCCGCCACTGTCCCTCTGAGTCACATCCAATTTCCCATTTTTTTCTTTTTATTAAATTTGAGAGTGCAATGTGAAAATTGAGGTGAAAGATAAAGTTGGGAAATTTTGTTTTGTTTTGGATCTATGAGAGGACAACTGTTTTGATTAATTAAGGCTTAATTGCTAATAAAACTATGACATTTTCAAAAATTACAATTATATGCACCACTTTTAAACTTGGCAAATATATACACCACTTTGACTTTTGTTGGCAATTTTCATGCACATGGCCAAAATTTGGCCTTTTTTCGCTGACGTGACGTTTCTGCTGGTTGACATGACAATTTTCTGCTAATGTGGCTTGGCCTTTTTTTGCTGACTGGGCCGCTGACGTGGCGTTTCTGCTGGTTGACATGACAATTTTCTGCTAATGTGGCTCATAACGTGGCAATAAAAATTTATAACATTGAGGGGGTTCAAACTTGAGACATCAAGGTTGCATTAAGACATTGTAAGTTTATAACCACCACACCAATCTAAATTGTGTGTTAAATCTAATAGCATTTAATATATATAGACACTAGGTGTGAATAAATAAAATTAAATTTAAAAGATAATGTAAATTATATTAAATTATAATAATAATATATAAACTTTTAATAATTAAAATATAATAAAATAAATTATATAATATTAAATAAAAATAAAGTAAGATAGAATTTATTATACTCCCTCCTATTTTTAATAAATGTCGTTTTGAGAAGTTGCACAATAATTAAGAATATTTTTTTTGACAATAATAACCTTCATTAATGAGGATAGAGATTGATATTTTGAGAAAAGATGGAGAGTGAATATGAAAAGACGTAGTGTATTTATTAGTTAGATGAGGATAATGATGGAAAGATATCTACCAAATAGCCAAAACGACATTTATTTAATAAATGATCAATTAAGTTAGGATGACAAATAATAAAAATAGGAGGGAGTAGTATAGTGCATTGAGATTAAATTTAATTTAAATAAATTTATATTTATATTATTTATTAAAATAAGATTAATTATATAAATTTGAAAATGAAAATTAATAATGATAAAATTAAATTAAAAAATAAACTAGATTAAAGTACACTAGTTAAAATAAAATATAAATAACATAATATAATATAATACGGAAGTTGCTTAAGCGACAATTTGATAAATCAGTGCGTGTTGTTCGTAGTGATAATGGAAGCGAGTTCATGTGTTTGACCTTTTATTTTTGTTGTCAAGGGATTTTGCATGAGAATTTTAATTTAATATAATTTACATTATCTTTTAAATTTAATTTTATTTATTCATACCTAATGTCTATACATATTAAACGTTATTAAATTTAACACATAAGTAATAACTTGGATTTGTGTTGTGGTTACAAAGCTTTCATGCAACCTTGAGGTTTCAAGTTCGAACCCCCGCAATGTTAAAATTTTTATTGCCACATTAGCAGCCACATCAGCAATAAAAATTGCCATGTCAGCAGAAATGGCACGTCAGCAGTCCAGTCAGCAGAAAATTGCCTCGTCAGCAGCCATGTTGGCAAAAAAATCCCGATTTTGGGCTTTGTGCATGTAATTGCCAACAAAGTCAAAGTGATGTATATATTTGCCAAGTTTAAAAATGGTGTTAATCATTCTTATGCAAATGTACGTGAAGAGGTTGAAACTATTTTTTGTATATGCAAATTTCATGAAGAAAGGTGAGTTTTGGATTGGGACAAGATTTGAAATTTAGTTCTAAATGAAGGCTCAAAAGGAATCTCAATTTAAAGGTTATAAACTTATAATTATCAACTATCAACCAAACAAGTTAATAGATTTCTTCTATTTAACGAATACCACATTATATTTGATTGTGGGAATTATTCAAGCTCAGTCAAAATTTGCCAGATATTTGATTATGAGAAATGATCATGCTCAATCATTTAAAAGTAACCAAATTGGCATTTAAGAAATATAAAACAAAAAATATTGTAATGTTTATCTCACAAAGTTAATTTGGTATATGCTTGTCTCACTATACTTTCTAAAATTAAATATTATACATTTTAGAACAATTTATTTTGTTATTCTAAATGAAAATTTTGAGCATGTTATTATTAGAAAGATAAATTAATTTCACACTTTTAAGAAATTTGATAGTAGTTAATGTTAGCACGCTCGCTTTTGGCATTTTCTTGTTGTCTTTTCCTAATTCAATTTGGAAATTTTTGTCGCGTTCCTTAATTTGTCGTCCACAAAATTTAAGATATAAAAAAAACAAAAACAAACCGAAAATACTAAAAATTATCAGATAACATTGGACATGAAAAGTGTTATCCACTTATACACTCCCCCTAATTTTTGTCCTTACTTAGTCCCATACATTAGGTAATCTGCCAAACACAGCACACAACTGAATAAGTGCTTGTTCGCCACGTGTCCACCATTTGCTCTATTGATGAGTTTCCTTTAAAGACTCTAAAGCCATCCACGTATGCCGCGTTTGGGTGGCTTTTTAGCCACAAATTCAAACTCCAAAACTTCTCAATTCTGTGTCTTTCTTCCACATTGTCCAGCAAATTTATTCGGCTTTCTGGATATGTTTTTTTTAATTAGAAGCAAGAAAATAGGAAAATAAAGATGAAAAAAAAAAAATACATAGCGTATGGATTTATGAGATGTATAAACATTAATAATTCTAAACATGCTTATATATTATTAGGATTCTTGGAAATATCTGAATTTATTGTGTTTCATATGTGGAATATAAGCTAAATCGATCAATTGGTATTGTAGTAATATTTCTCAACCAAATTTGGTATTATAGCATTTATATTTTAGAAAACAGTCTCAAAGAATAATATTCAATTTTATAATTTAGAAAACCATTTATATTTGTGATGAAGCTTCAAGATGATTGAGTAGAATGTTGAAATGTTTCAAAAACTAGTATGCTAACTACTTTATCCTTTTTAAAAAAGAATTAGATCAGAATTTCATTTACGGAATCCAAAAACGAATAGTCCTATTGCTTGGAGTGGAGTGTGACAACCAATAAAATAGTGAATTTATAAAACATCCAATAGAATAGAGCATATTCTAATATTCCAACAATGGTGATATATCAAGCCTTACAAAAATTATATTTTTACTTGAGGAATAGTGATTGATAGGTATGTTGTTAGGTCTGCTAAACTATTATATCGAATAATTCTTTTCACAAATACTTTTATTTAATACATTTTAAAAAAATATAAACATAAATATGACATTTGATAAAATAAGTACATAATTTTATTTATAAAATACTACCGGTCAACTCGTCTGACGTTTAAATTGTTTCACGTGAAATTTTTTGATATTGTATTAGGAAGAGATAGCACACTTGATAAGTACATTGAAGGTAATCCAACTAAATTATAGCTAAAGTAGTGTACCCAATAATGCATTGAATAACAACAATTCAACAAAAAATAGTTTTTTTCAATTATTATTTTTATTATTATTATTAATTTAAGAATTTGGGAGTTATTTGGTACATTCAAGTTGTGCGTAACTAAGGAAAAATATGGTCCACAAACAATAGATTCAAAAGGAAAATTAAGATTGGTGGTGGCGGATCAAGTGCTTATTCTGGAAAAATTTGGTGACTTTCTAGTTAGCCAGCCGAATAAGAAATTTCCAAAACAAATATCTATAATTTTTATAAACAAGTCTTAATTTTTTAAGAAAGAAAATAAAATTATTTGTATAATTTGATGTCATTCACATTGTAGAAATTTCCCAGGTGTACTCTTGATTTGGGTACGGTCAATTCAACCCCGTGATATGCAGTAGAAAAGTCAAACACACGGCTCAAAATTTCTTGTAAATGCCTACTGTTTTTCTATTAAATAAAAAAAAAATATAATTAGGTAAAAAAAATGTAACAGATAGACAAGTTGACTAGTTATATTCTTTTAGTAAAAGATTATATTTTTATTGTAAAAATACCATATTTTTTATTTTACTATATAATTTTTATAAGTGTGTCATATTGCAAATAGAGATGAAAAATGATAAATAAAATAGGTAAAGAGCTAATACCAACACATAATTACTGAGATTGAATTAAATTTTAATTTACAGTTCAATGATATTCACATACAAAGGTTGTTTTACTCGTATATTTGTTTTGACTTGGAAAAAGTCATTTTAGTGATCCCCAATTGCTTTTGGTCAAAACCAGTCATGATCAACTCACACACACTCTCTATGAAAGCTAGTACAAAATTCCCAAATTTTCGTATATCACTGTTGGAAAAGTATTATTGTCTAAATGTGAGTCTTATCTTTTAGCAACTTTAAATACTTTTTAGTTTTTATATCTATATATATACATTATTTATTTATTTATTTTTTGTGAATCTAATTATCCTAATCCCAAAAGAAGAAGAAAATATTCAAAACTCTATCATAAATTCTATCATGCCACCTCAAAGCCTTTGACCTAACTTTTTTTCCTTTTCTCGCCCAACTTCCACTCCCACTCAAAGCTCGAGTATTGACCTCAAATTATTATTTTCTTTTTCCTTTTTCCTTTTCCCAATATTCTTCTCCCACCAACTAAAACTTAAAGACGTGTGTGCTTTTTATATACTATATAGTAAGTATAGTATGACCACACTCATTATCTCATTTTAATTACATCCATTCAAATGTTTCAATCACAATCCTTTCACACCACTAAATACTAACCCACACCTAGTATACGCTAATAATAATAATAATACTAATCAAATTAAATTAAATAACGAATAGTTTGTAATTTGACACAACTCCTCCACCGCCACTCCCCACGCAACTGCCAACCTATTAAACAAAACTCTAATCTTAATCTTAAATAATAACAAAAAGAAAAACTCTAATTTTAATTAAATAATTCCTCTATAAATATGCCCCATATTTTTCTCCTTCACTCTCACTTTCGCATCTCAACCAATTCAAAATCTCACTTTCTTTTTCTCAGACTCGCAATTTTTTTCAGATGGCTGTTGAGGCCTTGAATTCATTGGGCCTTTCCGGCCCATATGACGATGTCGAGCCCAAATCCACGAAGCGCCACCGCCGGAGCCAATCGGACGAGGAGTACCTCGCCGCCTGCCTCGTCATGCTCGCCCGCGGCGGCGCCGCCACCTTCGCCGCAGATCGGGAGCCCTCCGCCGCAGCTCCGCCGCTGCCGCCTCCGGCGGCGGCTCTCCCCGGCACGCACGCCTGCAGCGTGTGCGGGAAGGCCTTCCCGTCGTACCAGGCGCTCGGCGGCCACAAGGCCAGCCACCGGGTCAAATCGCCGGCGGACGGCGCCGCCGCCGCAGTCGCCGGACACGTGGCGCCGCTGAACCCGAGCGGGCGACTACACGAGTGCTCCATCTGCGGCAAGGCGTTCCCCACCGGACAAGCGCTGGGAGGGCACAAGAGGAGGCACTATGAGGGGGTGATCGGCGGCGGCGGGGCCGCCAGGAGCCGGACCACCTCGTCGAACGGCGGCGGCGGCGGAGATCGGGGGACGGCGGGTGTGGCAAGGAACATAGACCTGAACCTGCCGCCGTCTTCGCCGGAATCAAGGGGCGACGAAGAAGTGGAAAGTGGTGCCCTGCGTTTGGGATATTAGGAAAAAAATAAATAATTAATTACTTAGTATAGATTTTAATTTATATTTAATTATTAGTATTATTAAAGTTTACAGTTAATTGCGTTTTGTATTTTGTTTTAGGGATGTGTTTGGTCTTTAGTTGGGTTTTATTAATTGTATAGGAGGGAAAAAAAAAAGTATAATTAATCCTTGTATGAATTCTTTGATTAATTGGCTGAGTGGATTTTGTTTAGTTCTATTTTCTGTTGTATTTAAGTATGTGTATATCTTTTCCAAGCTCATTTAAGTCGGT